AAAAGCTTCTGACAGAATATTATATATTGTATCCGGAAAAGCCTAGTTTATTAATCTAAATCTTTCAGGATTTTATTGTAAAGGGACTTTTTGTTCTAGCAAAAGCATTAATTATACAAATATTATTATTTATTAAATCTGGATTACGATATTTTATTAGGGAAAAAAAATATGAATTAATAATATCGAGTTAAAGAAAAGCATTTGATTTAATAATTATACTTATATGATAATCTTTGATAATTACAGTTTTAATAATAAACAATAGATAAAATAAAAGAATTAGGATATACAATAATAATAATTTGATATAACTTGTTATAGGAAATAAGGGGTCTTATATTATTTACTACACTGTACACTTATTTAAGAACAAACAAGGTTTGAAGGGAAAGGATACTATTATAGATTTACTATCTATTCCTAGTTAGCTCGGATAAATATCTTAGGTATTTATCTATTATATAATTGTCGTCATTCTGCGCACCTCCTTCTCTCCTTATCGAATATTATACATCTTACCTAGTACCCGCACTAGCCCCGTGATAATAAATAATGATTATCTAAGATTAAGAACGAATCAGCGCTCAGCCGATGTCGCTGACAGTGTTAAGCCGATACGTGCCGATATTTGCCGATGGATGCCGATGGATATTGTATCCGAGGTCTGTAAAACCGCAGTAATAAAGATTATGGGATATTGGATGGGATAATTCGGTATCGATCCAATACTAATGCGAGTTATTGGAGGGAAATCTTTGTTTTTGAGTGAAAAGAATTAGAAGAAGAAACAATTTTTGTTTATATGGTTAGGTGGTGGTGTTTGGAGGTGTGAATTTTGGAGATGTGAAGTTTGGTAATAAAATAAACTTCCCATTTCTGCGAGGTATAAGAGGGGAAAGATTACCGAGTTACCGATAGGATAAGGATAGGATAGGATGGCGCTAGTATGACGTTTGCGGGTTGAGGTTAATCAATAAATCAATAATTACTAGGTAGATTGATTGATTGTAAACATAAACTTCAAGAACGGCTCAAATTACCCAGAATTTATTAAGGAGACTATACAAAGGATTACAAAAAACTGCTGGGAAGAAGTGGACTACCGGTACTCAGCAATCGTTAGGGTAAATCGATTGATTGATTGATTGATTGATTGATTGATTGAAAAGAGGAAGATCAATAGAAGAGAAGGCTATATCGAAGGAGAGGGAATGCCCAACGATGCCTCTTCGAGATCCAAAAATATATTTACAGATCAGGAACAGGAACAGGAACAGGAACAGCGAGAGGAACAGCTAGAGGACGAATTGCGGAAGAGGAAGAAGAAGAGGGATTTCGGTATGGAGAGTGCAGTTGCGGAATCGGGCAGGAACTTGAAGAGGAAGTCGGGCTCGACTATGACTACGACTACAAGTATCTGTTCTACGGATGATGATAATGTGGTTGTAGAGGGGAAGAATGGGTTAGGGATAAATGGAAAGGGGCAAGTTAGAGGGGAGGGGATGAGGGAGGGGATAAGGGAATCGACGGTGCGAAGGGAAATTAAAAATAAACAGAGTTGGGATTATATTTGGAGGACAGGATTGGCGGGGGGTTTGGCTGGTAGTGCGGTATGTATTGTTCTCTGTTTGCCGTCTTCGGATTCTATCTGCGAATTCTACCTGTGGACTCTACAGCACAAGAGACTTAGAGAGATAAGAGACTCATCTAATACGAACATCACAACAGGCAAAAACCGTAGTCGCCCCCCTCGATCGGGTCAAAATCCTCTTTCAAGCCAGTAACCCCCAATTCGCCAAATACACTGGCTCATGGTTCGGCTACATAACCGCTATGCGCGACATCCACACCGATGAAGGCATTCGCGGTCTCTTCCGCGGTCACTCCGCAACCATTCTCCGCATCTTCCCCTATGCCGCCATTAAATTCCTCGCCTACGAACAAATCCGCGCAGTTATTATACCCAAACACGATTACGAAACTCCGTTTAGGAGATTGATAAGTGGGAGTTTAGCGGGGGTTACGAGTGTGTTTTTTACGTATCCGTTGGAGGTTATGAGGGTTAGATTGGCGTTTGAGACGAAGAAAGATGGGGTGGGGTTGGGGGGAATTTGTAGGAGGATTTATCATGAAGTTCCGTCTGCGCCGAGGACGGCGACGGCGGCGGTGGGTGGGGGAGTGATCGCCGGGGCGGAAAATACAGTGCAAGCTTTGATTCCGAAGAGTGGACTGGCGAATTTTTATAGGGGGTTCTCGGCTACGATTTTGGGCATGCTGCCGTATGCAGGAATGTCATTCCTGACGCACGATACGGCGGGCGATTTACTACGTCATCCAAAGGTCAGTCAGTACACGACACTTCCCAAACCGGCACATTATGCAGAACATAAACCGGCGCCCCTGAGGTCCTGGGCGGAATTATTCGCGGGTGGTGTGGCGGGTTTGGTCAGTCAATCGAGCGCGTATCCGTTGGAGGTCATAAGGAGGAGGATGCAGGTGGGGGGGACGGTGGGGGATGGGAGGAGATTAAGGATTGGGGAGACGGCGAGCATGATTGTTAGGGAGAGGGGGTGGAGGGGTTTTTTTGTGGGATTGACGATTGGGTATGTGAAGGTTGTGCCGATGGTGGCGGTTAGCTTTTATGTTTATGAGAGGGGGAAGGGGTGGTTGGGTATTTAGGGCGGGGATTGGGGTTTGGGGTTTAAGATAGGAGATGAGATTTAAGATATAAGATGAGAGATGAGATTTGAATGGTTTAGAGGGAGGGAAGGAGGGAGGAAGGGAGGGAGGATTAGATGGGAAGGGAAGGGAAGGAAGGATTAGATTCGATCGTGGTGTGAAATATGGGATGGGATGGGATGCATTGATTTGATAGTTT